AATAGGATTGAAACAACTGCAACAGTAATAGGAGAATTTATGTCAATAAATTAAAATCAAATGTGAAAATAAGAAGATATTTCTCCCTAGCATTTCACTGAAGCTCATTAAGATATTAATCAGAGCCCCACCACTGCCCCCCATAAGGGGGATGCACGGTGAGGTCTGGTTTGCAGTCATGGAGCCTAGGGGTACCACCTGGGTTGGGAGGCAGCATAGAGGTGGCGAAGGTTAACAGAATACTTAAGTGCTGCGGTGACTCAGAGTAGAGAAGTAATCTGAGTGGCATGGAGTGAATCAGGGAAGGTTTCCTGAAAGAGTACCCATGCTGGATGCTCTTCTCAATCAGATCTGGATACTAAGCCTGTGAGCCAAAATTTATACAGAAAGATCAAAATGGTTTCAATGCCAGAATACTGTGAAGGCAAGAATGTCCGCCTCATAGGAGCTACTAGTTTTCTAGGGAAAGTGCTTCTGGAAAAGTTGCTGATATCTTATCCTAAGGTGAATTCAGTATATGTTTTGGTGAGGCAGAAATCTGGACAGACACCACAAGAGTGAGTGGAAGAAGTCCTCAGTGGCAATCTGTTTGACAGACTGAGAAATGAAAATCGAGATTTTAGAGTTAAAATTACAGCAATCAACAGTGAACTCACCCAACCTAAACTGGCTCTCAGTGAAGAAGATAAAGAGGTGATCACAGATTCTACCAATATTATATTCCACTGTGCAGCTACAGTAAGGTTTAATAAAAATTTAAGAGATGCTGTTCAGTTCAATGTGATTGCAATGGGAGAGTTTCATTTGCACAACAAATAAAGAATCTGGAAGTGTTCATGCATGTATCAACAGCATATGCCTACTGTAATCAAAAGCATATTGATGAAGTAGTCTATCCACCACCTGTGGATCTCAAGAAGCTGATTGACTCTTTAGAGTGGATGGATTGTGGCCTAGTAAATGATATCATGACAAAGTTGATAGGAGACAGACCTAACACATACATATACACAAAAGCATTGGCAGAATATGTTGTACAACAAGAAGGAACAAAGCTAAACGTGGAGATTGTAAGGCCATCTATTGTTGGTGCCAGTTGGAAAGAACATTTTCCAGGATGGATTGATAACTTTAATGGACCAAGTGGTCTCTTTATTGTGGCAGGGAAAGGAATTCTTTGAACAATGCATGTCTCCAATAATGCCCTTGCAGATCTTGTTCCTTAGATGCAGTTGTGAACAAGAGTCTTGTGGCAGCCTGGTATTCCGGAGTTAATAGATCAAGAAACCTCATGGCATATAATTGTACAACAGATAGCACTAATCCTTTCCACTGGGTGAAGCTGAATACCATGTAATTTCCACTTTCAAGAGGAATCCTCTGGAGCAGACCTCCAAACGGCCCAATGTACATCTAACTTCCAGTCACCTTTTATATCATTACTGGATTGCTGTAAGTCATAAGGCCCCAGCATTCCTCTATGATATCTACCTCACGATGACTGGAAGAAGCCCAAGGATGATGAAAACAATAACTCATCTTCACAAAGCTATGATGTTACTTGAGTATTTCACAAGTAATTCTTGGATTTGGAATACTGAAAATGTCAACATGTTAATGAATCAACTAAACCCTGAAGATAAAAGACTTTCAATATTGATGTACAGCAGTTACACTGGGCAGAATATATAGAGAACTACTGCATGGGAACTAAGAAGTACATATTGAATAAATAAACGTCTGGCCTCCCTGCAGCCAGAAAACATCTGAACAAGTTGCAGGATATACCTTATGATTTTAATACTATCCTTGTGATCCTCACCTGGCACATTTTTATTGCAAGATCACAAAAGGCAAGAAACATGTGATACTTTGTGATTGGTCTGTGTTACAAGTTTCTGTCATAGTTTCAAGCATCCAGCACTATGAGATACTGAAGACCAAGAATTCAGCATTAGAACATCTACGCATATGGTGGTCTAAATGCACAAAAGGTAAAATGTACTTAAGTCCTTTCACCTTTTGTCAAGACATTAAACCATCTTAGATTGGAGTGTAAAGTAAATTATGGTACATTTTAGGTAACATTTTAATGTTTATGCTCATAAAACCTAGTGAACACACTGTGTTATGCCAGCTCTAATCTACAATAGCTAACCAAAACATGACTTAATATTTTGAGCCCTGTAAGAAAGGGGTGGGATGAAGGCAAGAGTAGGGAAACAGGAACACTGACCAGTATAACTGCAATTCTGGAGCATAATTAAAACATGCCTTAACATATAGTGAATTTCTAATTCTAATGTTCAGTGCAATGGAAGACATTTATTTGGACAGTAATACTAGTTAAGTTGGTAGATATTTGATTCTTCAGTGTTTGATTTTTTTCATTAGTTGAAGTGGGTTTTAATTTTGTAATTTTGTTAAAATTATAACCCACCTATTTTCATGTCATCCTGTAAGTTAAATGATATCAAACATGAAAGACATGTTCTCATTTTTCTTTTCTGATTAAATGTCTGATGCATATCATTTTTCTATAAGCAATCAGCTGCTTTTAAAATCAGAATGCTATATTATTCTAATGAGCATAGTGGATCTAAATAGGTTTGAGAATCCATGTAACAACATATGCTATGTGTTTTTTGATGGAAAGTGAAAAAACAAATTCAGTATAACTGTTACTATCAAAAAGAATAGAAATACAGTTTTCTTGCCCACATTACGATCAAACAAAAATCCTGTGAGATTGTGTTTATGTTTTGAAGCAGGAGGATTTCTTGAGACCTTGTTGGAAGTGAGAGTATTCACCATACTTGCGTTCTCCTCCCCGTATAAATTTTATTCATAGGACTTTAAAAAGGCATGTGCTATCTTTCTGATGAAAACTGAAAGTCCATTATGGAAGAATGTATTTGCAGGTAGTAATAACATTAAGAAAATGTTCTCATGTGTAAACGCGTACTAATTTTGACCTTGAAAGACGAATTCCTTCAAGAAAAATAAAATCATGCTTAAGATAATGTGTAAGAAATTAAATAAAAGACTTTATTTACATACCACATAAAGTAGCAAACTGTTGAATGAGTTTGAAGATATCTATTTTTTATGCATGTGGTTTTAGCTTTAGAAAGAAACGCATTCTAGAAACAAGTGATAGCAAGAAAATTGATGTATATTTTAAGGATACATTAAAATTCCCTTTTAATCATAATAGTAAACTCTACTTACTGTTTTAAGATACAGTAGTCTTAACTGCTTTAAGAGAGCAGTTCACAATACAAAAAGTTACATGGAACTTTATATCTTAAATTTCTTTGTCAATTTAAATGCAATGTATAAGAAGTCTATTTTGCTACTGTGAAAAAAAATTAAATGTAAAGGAAATCACCTACTTTCATGCAGGTGTATAATCTTGTAAAAGAAAAATGCTTCCATGTTGAAGCCAGACTTTCTGTAGTAAAACTCTTAAATATTATTTTAAAAGAAATATGTGTGTGTGTGTATATATATATCTATATTCTTTGGAATGATACTAAAGTCTCTGGCCTTGGACCTACCTTATATGAAGGTATAAGATACCATGACAATGTCTGAAAATTGAATAAATAATGATGCCTTCGGTTTAAAGTGGCCAACATAATATATATTGAGTACTCCATCTCTCCAAATGTATTTCCATAATGTGTTGAAAATATGCTAATATTTGTATGATTTTTATATTTCTGCGAAATAGACTTAGAATCAGGTGAATTGTCTTTGTGTCTTGCAAAAGAGTTGGGGACAACTTGGGCAGGCCTATGAAGTGCATAGGGAGTGTATGTCTTCTGAAACTTTTTTTTTTTGAGACGGAGTCTCGTTCTTTCACTCAGACTGGAGTGCAGTGGCACAGTCTCGGCTCACTGGAAGCTCCGCCTCCCGGGATCACGCCATTCTCCTGCCTCAGCCTCTGTAGTAGCTGGGACTACAGGCGCCCGCCACCGCTCCCGGCTAATTTTTTGTATTTTTAGTAGAGACGGGGGATGGTCTCGATCTCCTGACCTCGTGATCCGCCCGCCACGGCCTCCCAAAGTGCTGGGATTACAGGCGTGAACCACTGCACCCAGCCTGAAATGTTTTATTGTTCTTGTAATCTAACTTAAATGTTAACTGGGAGGGTGCTGAGGCCACTGCATTAATTCTGTGTGTTTAGAATTCTGTTGTCAAAAGTAAACTAATGAAGAAATTAGTTTGTCTTTCTGGAATTTAAAGTTCTAAAATTAGTATAAAGAGTATATAGATCGTTAATCCCCACCAACTAGACTTTGAACTTAAGTCAAACTTAAACATTTGAGAAATCATTTGTGTCATTTACTAGACATGATTTTTAGTTCTGTTTGATTATGCTTTCTACACAAACTCATTATTTAACAAGATAGCCTACTAAATTAAATGTTTCTTATTTCATTTAACTCATTTGATTAAATTGCATTCTAAAACATTTGGAGTTTTTCCCCCTATTCACCCTTAATCCTGGCATATGCATTTGTAAATTGTGATGATATTGGGACTATATTTAAATTTGATTTGGCAACATTAACATGTCCTAAAACTCAGTGCAAAGAAGCATGGCAGTACGTTCTTTGACTTAAGGAGTGCATAAAATAATCATTTCTGAACCTGCATAATAAAGCTTGAAAGCAGGGAAAAGAATTTCCTTTTCCCCCTTTTTTGTGCTGTCTGTAGGAATTCATTTGGAATTTCTTTTATGCTTTTTGTTTGTTTGTTTTAAATGTAAATTGATAATCTTTTATAAGAAGTAAATAGAAGTAGTATTGGGTGTCTTTGATTGCAAAGCAAAAAGTAATAAATGAATCCCTATATTTCCATTACAGTATTTATTGTACTTTTATGTTCTGAAAATTATCCATGAAACAATATGGATAAGATTACAGGAAGCAGTCCTTACTTAAACTTCTTGTCTGTTTGGGGTGTACTCGTTAAGTCTTATATCCTAATTTTGTTTAATTCTGAGTTGCTTACAGGGCATTTTAGGGGAAGCATACAGGCAGGATGAACACTTTGTGTTAAAGTGTTATTTTTATGTATTACCTGGAATGAGGAAGGTTTTCTTCTGTTTTCTAAAAACAGTAACCAAGAAACCTCCAGGGTGTCATTAGGTTCCAGCTGTTCTCCTCCACATTGAATGATATCCTGTTAATTTATAGGTACATTTGTAGTCATTCATATGTCTGTTAAGTATAAGAGATAATTCATTAGTAACAGAAATTAACTGAACCCTTTTGGAGCGGGGGAGAGTATCAGGCAGGGGTCGGGTAAGTGTAAATGGCCTTCTGAGCATGCTCTTCCAGGCTGACTGCCAGCCCTGACTTGAAACCATTAGCACTGACTTGCTCTGTTTAGAGAAAAACTTTCCAACCTTTTGCATGAGAAACAAGAAAAAGGAATATATGCCACGTAACTGGATTACAGAAATGAGTTAATTAATAGTCTGTCTGATAAAAGAGATATGAAATATTTTCTTATGGAATTAATATTTTTGGTCTTGAAGCATTTTCTTGCGGTAGAATGTTTTTGTCTTTTTTTCTGGTGGTACCCTCTTAGCATATATCTTTGTTACCCTTAAGATCCTAAACAAATCATCTTTGTCAGTTAAGCATGGTTGTGCAAAAATTGTTAAATAATTCCTTTGATTTGTCTTTATTAAATAAAAAATATGGGAAAATATATTAATCAGGAAAGCAATTATTACAATAATTAATATAATTGCTGTTATTTAAATATAGTATGTTAGAGGCCATTTTCTTTACAAAACTATCCAAACAGCATAACATGAAAAAACGGAGCATTAACATAACGTTTTTCAATAAATTTATTACACCTTTGCCCAAGAAGTTTAAAAAATAATAATAATAACTGGTAAATAGTGTAAAGTAATGATATAGAAGTTAAGAAGAAATTATTTAGGCAGATAGTGAGGGTAAGGAAATTACTCTTGGTAAGGTTTTCCTTTTAATGAAAAGCGGCCCCCAAATCATTTTATTTTCTAAGAGCAGCCAGTAAAATCGAGCTGCAGACATAGACAAGCAAGCTGAAGGTTTGCTTGGGCGAATGCCGGCAGTGGCGCCAATAGGAAAAGGCTACCTGGGAAGATGCATATTCAAAATGGTGGCTCCATCTTCCCTTTTCTTTGTCAGCCACGTGTACAGTAAGATGCCCACAACATGGTGCCAACCAACTGGAAAGTCATTTTGCATAATAAGATTATTGAAGATTAGTATGTCAGGCCTGGTCCAACCAATCTGTGGGCCTTATGTAAATCAGAATCCGCCTCCTCAAGCCTACCTATAAAACCTGGTGCACTCCGCAGTGGGCTAGATTTCCCTTTGGTGTGCCCCTCTGTCTTCTGAGGGAGAGCTGTTCTCCTTTCTCTTTCTTTTGCCTATTAAACCTCCGCTCCTAAACTCACTCCTTGCGTGTGTCCATTTCCTTTATCTTTTTAGCGCGAGATGAATAACTCCAAGTATTTACCCTCCATAAAGGGCATCCTCACTTGCAAAAATATTTCCTAATTGTATCAAGATAAGGATGTAATCATCACTTCAGTGCATGCCTCGGACTACAAAATATATTTTTAAGTGCTACATTTATTTATAGTGCAGTCTTTCTCTAACATATTAAACGTATTCAATAACCTATATTTAATTTTAAGGGAATGTGTATTACTTTAATGTGCAATTCCTATAAAAGGATAAATTAGATACAGAAGGAGCACCAATTTACACCTGTCCTTAAATCTATAACTCTTTGAAATAAAGTGTCAAATCGATTTTAGGTAGCACGAATGTATAAACTTCAAAATTGGGTTTCACATGCTGGTTTGGTAAATGTAAAATGTATGGTAAACGCGTTTTAGATTATGAAAGACTAGAACATCATGCCATCTACACACAAGTAAATACTTGTAAGCATTTCTAAAGTGATGATAGCCTACTACACAAAACAAACATTAGTAGAAAGATAATTTTGTGCAACAATAGGCTTCATTGCAGACCTTGAGTTTGCATTTTCAGTTAAAAATATGTTTTGTTAAAGTCCTAATTATAATTTATCTGGAAGTTGTAATGAATTATTATTTAGTCGTCCAAATGTCTTTCAGTGTATGTATGCAGGGTAGTGGAAAGTATATAAATCCAGAAGTAGTATAATTAAAAAGATAATGCCTACAATCATAATATATGAATATTTACAGGAATTTTCTTCACTGAAACTGATACATGAAAAATATATGTAAACTTATTTTTATTGGCTTTCTTACATTACAAAAAACTACCCAATAAGTGTTAGTTATTACTTTTAGGGCAACATTTATTTTTAATTGCACATATTTTCATCACAATCAACAGAAAAGTGAACTGATAAAGATGAAGAATACACACAGAAAAAAATAAATACATAATTCCTTAGAGTAATTTTATTTTCTCTTATTGGAGTTCACTCAGTGACAAAAATATTTTATTCCTTTTAACTAATAGGCATCATAACAGTTACTGCAACCTATTTTCCTTTTTGTGTTGCCAGTAAATATATTTTTATTCATTTTGTTTGGGAAGCACCAAGAAAATATGTAATAATTTATCATAAAATATTTTAAATAAAGAAGTTATTTCTATAAAGAACACATGCAGAAAGTAAGCTGATAATTTTTGGTTGAATACCAAGATGAGTAAAAATGTACAATATTGTGTATATTCTGTCATTAATTTCCAATTGCTCTGTAAGTATGAAAATAATGTCTAAGTTGCCGTAATTGCTCAAGAATTATAGAACTTTCAATTACATATTTGTCATATGAAAATAAATGTACATGTGAGAAAAGATCTGAAGAATGTACCAAAATGTATGAGATGCAGAGAAATATACTGTTGTTTCCATAGTAACAGCATGTTCAGCCAGTTGGAGCACCATAGTAACTACAAGAGGAAAAAATATGGAGGACATAAAAAATATAAATTTACAAAATTAAAATATTCATTTTGGTAAAGTTGGCACCTGACTATAAAAATCCACTTTTTTCTAATTCTGCTCAGGATCAGGACTCTCCTAGGCTTTACAGAGTTTGGTTTTCTATTGTTCCACATTTTATGAAGACCATTGTCATTTTTGAAATATGCTAGGATGGTCTCTATAAAGGTGTGGTAATGATTAAATAAAATGAGACAATTTATGATAAAGTGTTCTGTAAATTGTAAAGAGCTACACAAATTCATCATTTTAATTTTTTCAAATTTTGACAATAAAACTTTGACCCTTCTTTTGTTAGTTCCTAATTTATAATGTCTTTGCATAAAAATAAGTTATTTAGTTTATTGAATTTTGAACCAGAAGCTGATGTCTTTAAATTTTTTTCTAAATATTTAATTTTAGATTTCCTTTTAACAGTAGAAAAACTAAAAATTAATACGTAGTTTACATGAAGAATGTAATGGAGGCAGGAAAAAAGTGAGGCTATGTGAGATCAGTCTTCTTAGGATAACAAACTGAATCTCATGGTCCAATGCCATATAGATAATTTCTTAGTTTTTTTCCTGGCAGAGCTGATGTAATGAAGCAGGCTTGAGATTAGCTATTTCTTCACATGATGATTAAATTTAAAGAGAGTAACATTTTAAACATTGCTTTATGTTTTTAGTTTAGAATTAAAAAAAAAAAACAGTTGAATCTTCAGTATTTAATTATAACTTTTCTACCACAATTTGAAAAGCACTGAAAATTTTATGTGAGTCTTAGCTACACAGTTGAATGCTACTTTGATCTATAGTCATTTTTCTCTGCATGTTGATGTCAAGACATCTAGGTCAACTTTCTCAACACAACAGAAAAAAATATATTAAAATTATTTATTTATTTTTTATACGTAATTACTTATAACATGGTAGTATAGTATAGTAGTTAAGCATCTAGCGCCTGACATGCCCTGCCTGGCTTCCAATCATGGCTCAGATATTTATCATTTGTAAGATGGGGTGAATTACTTGTGCCCTCTGCCTCATTTTACCATCTGCAATTTTGAAATTATCATTTGTAATTGGAGTAATTATTCCTGGTAATTTGAAGATAGAATGAGTAAAAGTGTGCAAAATAATTAGAACAATGTCTAGCATAATAAAATACCCAATAAGTGTTAATTATTATTTTTAGCACAGCACTTATTTTTAACTGAAAACATTTTCATTATAATTAATAGAAAAATTCACTGCTGAAGATGAATAATACACACAGAAAAACAAATATGTTATTCTTTAGAATAATTTTATTTTTTCTTATTACAAGAAAGAAACGATTACTTCTCAGACTTGTCTATAACGTGTCACACGCGTAATATCTATTCCAGCCAATTGTACACTTTTAATGTTAAAGAAATTTTTGAGCGCAGATCTTCATTTGATTCTCATAGTATCTTTTCATAGTTCCTTATTTTTACCTTATTTTCCTGTATTTTAACGTCTATTATTTCCTCATGAGTAAAGTATATTGCAATTCTCAGAATATTATCCAAGGTAAAGTTATCCAAGGTAAAGACTATATGTTTCCTTTTTGATACTTTGAGAGATAACTAATTTTTAAGTAGAAAGTTTGACATTTCCCAGATGCATTATCATGAAACTTTTCTACACTTGAGTTTATTGGCCTTGTGCAAATTATTAATTCATGTAATAAATAGCAGACACTGGTAACAGTTGAATAATAAAGTAAAAACAGAATGATGATAAATAGTAAATTATTTTATGCCTCATAAACCTGGGTTCTAATTTTGGCTTCTGTCAATGATTAGTCATATTAATAGGGCCAATCATCTGAAAATCTTTATCAATATAACTGTGATTAAATAAACAGAAACTTTAGAATACATGTTAAATAATGGTTTTAAAGTTGGTAATATATAAATGAAAAAACACATTAATAAATAAGTAGAATTAAAAGCAAAATTAATAGTAGATACTTATGGTTTTATAGAGCTTTGAATGCCTTTTGCTAAGCAGTTATATCAATTCCTTGAAGCTAAAAAAGTCAACAACCTATTATTTAAACCTCAAAGAGTGCATTATCATCTTGTAATGGCCAGAAATAAATTAAAAATCCAGATTTTTAAAATATGTATTGAGACTTCATCCTCATTTTATGCATGGATGCCATGGTGATGCGAAAGATTTTATTTTGCAAACTAACTAATCACCGAGGCCAGGGAAATGGAATTCTTTGGCTTCTAGGTCCGAGGAATCAGGCTCGCTTACTGCTTTTGCTATAATAGAAAGAAATAGCTTAAGACCCTTCTCCAACCCATTAAAAAATGGGTTTTCTATGGGAAACTGAGGTTCTGCTATCACAAATAGAGAAAGTGATGTTGGTTGATTAAGAAAATATATATCCAGTACCTATGGAAAATTTTGGATAAGGTATTAGATCAACTATTTGGTAACTAATTTAAAATAACATTTTTTAAAAAGTTACTTTTTATCTATCATACTTAGGTGCCTGAGTACATGGTGGCAGGTTAATTGCTGCTTCCATTTGCCTTGAAATTGCCCCAAACATCTTAAAATTAAAGGAAAAACGTGTGAATTACTTCTCTTCTAAATATTGCATCAAGTTTTAGCACACAGGCACTTCTCCACCTCACTGTCCTGTTGCTATTGACAATTAATTAAACAGTAATTATAACTACTACTGCTTTTGCAGCTGCTCTTAGGAAATTCTAGCTAATGTTCTGATTCATCTATCTATTGGTAGATCAATTGATTGATTAGTTTCCTAATAACAGCCCAATGAGAAAGAAACTGTCATTATTCCCAGGTGAGTGAAAGGAGACACGAAGAAGGCAGGCAATATCAGTCTGAAATTGCACAACTGGTAAGTGTTAGAGACAGGCTTCCACTCACACAGTGTGACTCACAGACACTGCAGTCTGCAACGCCAACCTCCAAGCTATTCTGCCTACTTCAGTTACAGAGGTTGGGAGTTGGGAGGTGAGAACAGTAATTTGTTATAGAATTGGTTTGCCAAGATATTTGGGGAGAAGTATACAATGATATGTTCACAAAACATTTTTATCACAATGTGCTCTATTTGTCAAAACACTACAGAGAGGAGATGAATTCAGAAAAAGAATTCACCACTTTGCAATAGACAAATAAAAGAATCCAACTTTTTTGAACTTTAAGTGTTGGAAGAGGCATCTTTCTTATTCCCAACTATTTAAAACCAAAACTGAGAAAAACTTTGATCAATAAAAGCAGATTGAAGCCCATCTTTGTGTGGAGAATCAAATTAAAAGGATGATCAATATACTTGCTATCCAAAAGCTTTAAGATGCCTCATAGTAAAAGTCCATCTAAGTGTGTGGAATGAAGTGTATTCTTTCAATTGGACAAAATTGCTCAGGGAAAAGAGGACAAAGTTATGGCTATATCACAATTCTTGACAAGTTTAAAGTACTCTCAATTAATTTTAGAGATGGCAAAATGATTAGATTAAATTGGCAGTTCGAGGAAGGAGGAGATCCAGCATTCAGACAGGCAATCTGCCCAACATGCATTCTAGTGAAGTTTCAAAAGTAAAACACATACTAACGTTATGCATGCTACCATAAAAAGAATGAAGGTTGTATTACACCTAATTTCACATCAACAACATAATTTGGCAAAAGAGAATAAAATAATAGTTTCAGAATTCTAAGCAAAAGAAATTCTGGATCTAAAATTTGGTATTCCATCAAATGTCCACCAAGAAAAGAAATATTTTCAGATATACTAAGACTCAGAAATTTTACTTCTTTCAGAATGTTGCTTAATGAAAAAGTCAAAAGAGAATGCATTCTGGAAGAGAAAAGAAAGAATCAAGAAGAAGAAAATTTGCCTTCCAAAATGCATTCTACTTCAGAGTATAAAGAATACAAGCACTATGATAAAAGCTGTGCACCTCTCCTAGAAAATGACTGTTTAAACAAAAGTTCACAAGGTTCTGAGAATAATTACTCTGTAAATCAGTAAATTTTCTGAAGCCCAATTAGGAATCTGGATAGTAGTAGGAATGAGAAATAAGCAAATTATTCTTCTGTCAACATGAAAAAATAAACACAATTAATAAATCTCACTGGTCTGAGAATCTATAAAAGATAATTCAGATAAAAAAGAAAGCATAGACATGATATAATTTTGAGTTATTCTTATAATTTAGAAAATGCTGTCAATCTGATAGTAATGCTTTTAATATTTAACTGCTAAGCCTACTTTTGATGATAAATCATTTTGCCTCTTTTTAAATAGGTCTAGTCCTCTAAATACATTTATATAATTAAGGCTTTGTAAATGCTGTTATCAGTTTTCAATTATTTAAACAAATCTTGAAACAAATTGTAAGTTACTATTGTATTTACAGAACAAACTTTTCTTATGTAAACCTTAGCAATAGAAAAGGGAAGGGATAGCTTAAGGAAGTTTGAAGGTAAATAAGAAATCAGTCAATTGAGGATCTTAAGTTGATCTTAGTTAACAGATAAATAAATACAAGATACATTATTTAAAATTAGTAATTAAGCAAAAGTATATAGAAAACAAAGTCAATCTGTCAACCAAAAATTCTAAAGCATGAAGGAGATGTCAAATTATCTGTATAATATAGTGATTTGATCATATTTTGTAAGAAAATGACTAAAAATAAAAAAAAATTAAAGAAGAATATAGTAAGCAAGTTTGACTTTGGGATAATATATTAGTTTTCTAAGACTACCACCAAAAGTATCACAAATCAGGGTTTTCCATAATCTCCTTCTCAGGTTCAATAATTCTATAATTTTCTATAACAGTTTATAGAACTCAGGAAACACTTTACTCAACAGGTTTATTATAAAGAATATTATAAAAGATACGAATGTACAGCCAGATGAAGATGTACATGGAACAGAGTCCAGAAGGGTCCTAATACAGTCACTTCTGTCCCTGTGGAGTTGGAGTACACCACTTTCCTGGCATGTGGATGTGTTTACTAACCCAGAGGCTCTCCAAATCCGATAGGTTAGGAATTTGTATAGAGGCTTCATTCATGTGAGCATGATGGATTTACTCAATCTCTAACCCCACTTCCCTCGCTAGAGGATATGGGGGTATGAATAAATGTTTTTAGCTTCTAATTATGGCTTGGTCTTTCTCGTGACCTGCCCCCACCCTGAAGCTGTCTGGGAGCCCACCAAGAGTTGCCTCATAAAAATGAAAATGTTCCTGTCACCCAATAAATTTCAAAGAACTTAGAAGATCTGGGTAAGATGCTTCTATCACTGCCATCACTCAGGAAATTGTAAGAGTTTTAGGAATACTGTATAAGCAACCAGGTGCAGAGATCAAATATGCATATCTTATTGTGTCACTTACCTGTAATTTTTCTAGCAGATCTTTCTAGCCCAGTCATATCCTTGATGTTCTCTTCCCAAAATTCTTTGGTATTATTTTGCAATATAAATAATCTGGTAATTTTCCAAGTCTTCAAGTTCTGGTTCATTTTTGCCTAACAGTTCTTCCATTTATCTCTCTCCTCACTCAGGTTGCTATAAGCAACAAGGAGAAACCAATAAACACCATCAATACTTTGTTTAGAAATCTCCTTAGCTAATTATTCAAGTTTACCACTTAAAAGTTCTATTTTGCACAAAACCCTCATACACAACTCAGCCAAGTTCTTTGCCACTTCATAACCAGAATCACTGTTCAACCAGTTCCCAATATCACATCTTCATTTCTGTCTGAGACCTCACCACAAGCATCTTCAACATTCATATATCTACTGATATTCCATTCATGATTATATATGCATTCTCTCTGAAAATAAAAGCTCTCAGCTCTCCTTTTTTCTGTGTACTCACCAGAACTGCCTTTAATGTCCGTATTTCTACAAAATTTCTTCCAGGCAATGTAGGTTTTTTCCCTAATATGCACCTCAGTATTCTTCCAGCCTCAGTTACCCAGTTCCAAAACCACTTCCACATCTTTTAAGTATTTGTTACAGGAGTACCTCACTCCTGGTATCAAAACATGTATTTATTTGGTAAAACTGCAATAAGAAAGTACCCCAATTCTGGAAGGTAGCAGTCTGAGATCAAGATGTTGGTAGAGTTACTTTCTATTGAGGCCTCTCTTTCAGCTTGTAGAGACTGTGTATCTCCTTGTCTTCACGTGGTTATCATGCTGTACCCATCTGCGTCCTAAATGTCTTTTCTTATAAAGGCACCAGTCATATTGGATATCAGAGCCTACTTTAATGACCTCGTTTTAACTTAAATGAAGTATACCAATTTAAAGATCTTATTTCCAAATACAGTCACATTCTGAGGTTCTGGCTGTTAGGATGTCAACATATAAATTTGGGGAGAACACAATGTAGCCTACAATAGAGGGCTATGCTAGAATTTGGCAGTGATTACCAGATGTCTGTTCCACATCCATTATTTTCTTAGTAACAGAGCCACAATTTTATAACAACAGGCAATATTCCTAGTTAAAGATTACAGTTTTATGGCTCTATTGTAGGTAAGTTTGGCAAAATATTTATTAGAAATGTTACCTGCAAATTCCAATTGTTGTTTGGGGATAGCTGTTTCCTTGAAGATGGAAGTCAGTTAAGTATATTGTGCCTAAAACATAAAAGTGTCCAATGTCTCAACAGGTAGCTGTCACACTATCCCTGGAGAACTGATAATCTGAGATAGATTTAGTACAATTATTCTGAACATAGCAACTTAAAACAAATGTTCATTTCCTGTTCGCAGGTTGGCTGGTGGACTGTATTTTCACTAATCTGAGCTGGGGGTCAGCTGGACTTCAGACTTTCAAGACTATTCCAGGTGTCTTCATTCTAGGATCTAAGCTAAAGAATCTACAACTTCCTAGTATGTGTTCTTCTGACTGGGGATGGGAGACACATATAGAGAGCTGTGGAAAATTTCCATACTTCTTTAAGACTTTTTTGAAAGTAGCATAGTAGAATTTCCACTTATATTTTATTGGCCAAAACAAGTCATATGGTTAAGTCCAAGTGATGAGGCACTGAAAAGTTAGAAACAAAGGAATGTAAAATTCTATTCCGGGGAGGGAGGAAAAGATTCGGAACAATATCCACAAGTAATCCAACATTCCCCAGTAGTCTAACACCCTGCCACATAGATAAAATAAATGTTTATTTTGTTTAAATTCCTATGATTTATTTGTTACTAGTAGCCTGGTACAATTTTAACTTATACCCAGAGCTACAGTCTTTTAAATTTCACTTGTTAATTCTTCTGTGTTAACAAGTTATTTTATGCTGTACGTTTTACATTTCCTCATTGTAATATTAATGTAAAAAAGCCTTTTTTCAATCCCAAAACAAAATTTGAACTGACTTGTAGATGCCACAAAAGGGAGGTTTAACCAGACAAGACTTTAGGAGAGTATGTTGATGGAAAGAAGTTAGCAACCATAGGACTCGGTTGTGGACATCCAGAAGATGGTGCAAAACAGTAGCTGCGTTTCCGCAGAAGCCCAATGGATGTGGACAACAATGGCATAACAGAGGTAACAGGCTGCCATGAGCTTTGTGAAAACAAATTCATGACACTAATTGACTTCTTTAATATGAGAAGAATCAAGATTTTGCACACTTAAGTTGAGGACAGATTTAAATTAGCCAACCAAATAAATGTATGTAATATAACAATACCCTTTTTGGAAGCCAGGAAAGCAGTATTTTTCACTGGTAGAGATCAAAAAAACTCTCCCTAAGTGAGTGTCGTATACTTTGTGAGTGTGTGAACATGTGAATGAGTTAAAGAGCAAGTCTTTTGGAATTTTCTTTGTAACTCTGAGTAAAACGGTAGTGTCAATATTTCCTTGGGTTAATGTAAGCAGATCTGCCATTAATACTAGGCAAAAAAGGAACTAATTCATGAACTTTCTCATATTTGATATATTATGGTAAATTATGCTGAATGAATTTTAAAAATTAATAATTTTGAAATGTAAATTTAATTTACTTAAAATATATCAGGACTGTATTATAGTTTAAAAGTCATGAAAAATTATGAGATGTTTACCTTTATTGACAAAATTAAAACTATAGAACTTTTGAATCAGCAATCTTAATTTCATACTTCAGTGATAATTCTATGTGAATAGTATTTCCAAAGAGATGAATTAATGTATGTAGCCTATTAAAGTTGCCTTGTGAGAGTGAGATAATTCTATAAATACATAAATAAGTTTATAATTAAACAAAAATAACCTTTCATAATGTATTGATACTGCATGATTAATAATTGCTTTCTAAATTTATGATGCTTACTATATGTACTTGTATTACATTTCAAATATTAACATAATTTTCTCAACATATATTTTAAAATGTGTTTTATATAAGATACATGCTAGATAGTATAAGTCTCTATATGAAGCTGACACTGTAGAACCTTCTCCTTTTAGGGAATTTATACTACATTTTTAGACTGCCTTCTGATGTTAATTTAATCTTATTTTAAATAGAATACTTAATTAGTAAAACAAATCCAACTTCTACAGCATGTTTGGATGAAAAAACAATAATGACTACATCCAGAGAAAAAATATCCAATATAGAAAACAACAAGTTTATCTATCTTTCTCTACTTACATTCTTAGCATTCTGTTTTATAATTCCAAGTTGGATCTATTTCCGTACTCAAAAACGGAATAGTATTTGCCACTCTTCAAAGACAGGACACTTTTTCAGAAATGTGTGTCTTTTTTCATATGGTTTTCTCTTTCTGTCTTCCACCTATTAAAACATAGATAGCATTCAATACCTTGGTTAAGTATGATAGTTTATGTGAAGCTTTATATGACCATAAAAAATCATTAAATTTCTTCTTCCTTTGAAGTTTATATATTTGCACATCTCATCTAATTCCTACAATAAACCTACCCCCTTTGGTAGGCATAAACACCTTCCACTTTATTGATAAGAAAACAAAGTTATATAAATCATAGACCTTTATCAATGTCATTGAACAACAACAAAAAAATATGTGTTAAAGTTTGCTTTTATTCAAGCCAGTGTCAATTAAAACTCTAGCTCTTTCTACTATCCTAAACTACAATGTTACTTCTCTCTCTCTCTCTCTCTCTCTGGTGCTTTTATGACAAATGGATTGCCTTCCAGTTCCATGTGGTGTATCATTTTCAGTAACTTATTGATGTGTTTTCTGTGAGAAGAAAACATATTTTGTGATATCTATAGGCCCAGCACTCAGCAATTTCCTGACACACAGTAGGTGCCAAATGAATATTTATTAATCTGACCTGGAAAAAGACTCTATTTATCAAGACGTGGTCCCCTATTTAATCTACGGAAAAGTATCTTTTGCATTTTTGGAAGATTTTCTGGGAAATAAATTGCTTTTGAATGCTCACATTATTCCAGTTTGACATGCTTGGAAAGATTATGAGAAGCCCTGTAACTAATATAATAAAAGTAGGATGACTTAAAGATTCACTGACTTGTAGAGCTTGAGAAAGCATTTGGTAACCTTAACTTAGCTCACTGATAGGAACTAACACTTTTAATAGTTCTGTCAGAATGCCTAGGTACTTCTCTGAGAGATGCTGCAAGAATTTTTATACATCAACAGTAGTAGATATAAATTATTGTTGTTTCCATCATGTCTTAAAATGTGTAACTGATACTGATCTTCAGGGATTGTTATCAGATGTATTTCATGACCATTACCATGTATTCGGGAAATACAAAAAGAACATCTTTAAGTACAGTGGAACACCATAGTGCACGGCATATCAAGTCATTTACACTTTTTGGCAGCTTCCTGGAGTATAGCAATGTCGTTTCCTGCCATTAACAGATGGAGTCTCAATGTGAAAACTGCTACTGTAAAACCTGCAATATGTCAGGTTAAAGATTAAGTGAAATCAATGTTACAGGGTGCTATCATCTTATATATTAAAATTGTACATAATGTGCCGATTATAAGCTTCATGAATTTACTTATTTAAAAAATAAGATTTATGGCAAAAACTTCAATATAGATATGGCACATTACGGAAACAAACTTATGTCCCCGATGTGAGTGACAGATGCTATCAAAGCTGTACAACATCATGCTTCTCTGCTTTTCAAATTAAAGATGTACAAAACAAGAGCATTTTTATGGGTTGCTGTTAAGGTTGATGAACCAAGAAGTTGACAGCTTTTAAAATGTTTTAGGTGTGTATAATTGTGTGCATTAACATCAAGAATTTCTCTTCCCGCTTTTTCCGGATAAATGGCTTCGTGTCAAACACATCGTTTCAAATTTCAAAATTTTAAAGGGCAAGTGGCTTGAAATATATGGGGCTAAGACACATATTTTTGTCCTTAAGTTTAAATTCAAATATGTTTGTAATTATGAAAATAATTTGACTGCCAAATTAGACTCAGTTCAGAGATTCTGCCCATTATTTTAATTATTCAATAAATAAACAAAGGAGAAACGGGGTCAGAGTGATTCCTTCCTTCACATATCAGACATAAGCTTTTTGGCCCTGGGCAATGTATGGGGCCTTTAACAGCGGATACAGGTTAGTTACTATATACATGGTAAAACAGCACTACTTTGTATCCTAGACTTTCTAGACTTGGTATAGCTTATGGAATACGCTACCAAAAGCCATACCTCATCAATCCCTATATCCTAGTTTTGCTTTGCCTATGCAATGCCAAACCAAGGGTATCCCGCTAAATGAATTTCCTAAAAATCCCTCTTCATCTAAAATATATTTTGCCTATTTATAGGAGATTGGTCATTAGCAGCTTTGTAGAAAAGAAATAAATTGTGTTATCTGCTTTCATTCCTTTCAGGTAGCACCTTCCATTAGTTAATCAAGAAATAAATTAAAGGCCATGTGTATTATCTTCTTCTCCAACCATCAGCAAATCAGTGATTAATTTTGTATAAATTCTGTGATCAGGTAAAAAAGAAAGCTACTACTTTGATAAGGGATCACAAATGTATGTATTCGTCAAACAGAAAAAAGGAAAGAAAAATTATAGTAAATCAGTTTTAATACCTATGTTTACTTAATTAAATTTAAAAGAAATGAAATGGTTCTAGACCACATTAAGTATTTGATAAGCTTGTCAACATGCATGATATAAACATACTTATATAGAGTGATGTCACATTCTTGTAAAATCATTATGATTTTCAGACAACAAAAAAAATGCAATTTATAGAGCAATTCTGGCAATTGAGTCAGACAGTCTGAGGAAATGATTCAAGGGAAAAAATTACCAAGTACCAGACAGGCACTTAATTTGTAGAAGCAATTAAAAAGTTAATCAGACCTCATCCTCTCATTCATATTACGCAGACCTTGAAAATGTGCAATTTGCATTCCTTATTGAATAATAGTAAAATGTTTGCATTTACCTTGCCAGTGTACAGAGCTGGCATCGTAGATAAGCAACCGGTGCAGTCACACAAAACCCCAGTGTAGAAAGAGTTTAATGCTCTGTGGTTGCCATCTTGAAATTCACAATAATTTTATCAATGAATATGTGCTTTGCATGTGAAGTCAGATGAGACAATGAAGCATATGCCGGAAGTTGGAGTCTCGGCTCACACATGACTGTTCCACACCGCCTCCCTCCACTCCTGGGTTGGGTTCTTAGCAGCCTATTTCCTGACTTTTGGTGCTCCATGCCCTACCCAGCTCCCTCTTCCATCAGCAGCCTGTGACTCTGCCACTCTCTGCCCCAAATGGAGTGTGGGTGTGGTCTTAGGGGAAGTTGGGACAATCTTGGTGGGGAGCAAGGGAGTATCTGGCAGCACCACCACACGTTCGTCAGAAAAATAGGTGGGAGCCTCTTGTCCACACCCACACCAGGTACTAATTGTGTTGTAATAATCACACAACGCAATAATCACAGGAAGCAGTTGCCAAGTTGAAGGCTATCCTTCATAATGACAAGAAAAATAACGTTGGCTTTATCAAAACCTGAAAGCTTGCTTAAGAGACTCCAAAATTCTAAGACATAGGCCTCAGAGGTGTTATCTAGCTAGTGACAATATCTGTGGAGTCCAGAGGAAGGGCTTAATAGAGATGAGATTCAGGTCAGGGCAAGGGCCATTGCTAGGGGGAAGCTTGTAGGACTAGCAAGTGAACTGGAAGAAGCAAGTCTTTTTTCCCTTTTTGGCTTTCAAGCCTCCATCTAAAGCCACCAAATAGCAAAATATAATGGGGAACCCTCTGTCAAAGGAGGAAGGTGATGTGAGCATTGGGGTGAACAAAAACTTCATCTCTAAACTATCTGTAGCCTCAGTGATCCTACCCACACTTGCATTGATTGCTGTAATGTTTCATTAACTTTTGCTAGTGGAAATGGAAGCATTAACAGGTTACCTACGAATAGATCGTCCCACACCAAAGATATAGGAACAAACTAATTTCTCCGTAATAATTAGGACAAGCTATACTAGCCCATATAGTAACCTTCTTTGCCTTTGGCCAGAGATATACGAGACTAAAATTAGTAAGTGTGTCTTTTAACTTCAGATTCAATTTACATCTTATAATTAGTGACATAAATGAGGCTTCAATAATCCACTCCAGGAATGTGGATATATGGCAAATCATTTGAATATCACAAATTTAAGCCCATTGATAAACTCTTTTTTCTGTTAAATAGTATGTACATATTTAAATCTGAATGTTGTGTTAGTTTTCTTCTTTTTTTTTGTAAATGGTCTAGATATAAATTTTATCAGATGATGTCTTAACGTTAAAAACATTTTGATTTTTATATTGTATTACTATAGTAGCTACGTATGCCTTCTAACTGTGTATTTCTGTACTAGTCCATTCTTAACACTGCTATAAGAACTAACTAAGACTGGGTAATTTATGAAAAAAAGAAGTTTAACTGACTCACAGTTCCAGGCTTAACAGGAAGCATGACTGGGAGGCCTCAGGAAACTTACAATCATGGCAGAAGGGAAAACAGAAGCAATCACGTCTTGCCATGTTGGAGCAGGAGAGAGAGAGAGAAAGGGGGGATGTGCCGCACACTTTTAAACCATAAGATCTCGTGAGAACTCACTCACTATCATGCGAAGAGCAAAGGGGAAATCCCCCCCCATGATTCAATCACCTCTCACTAGGCCCCTCCTCCAATTCAACATGAGATTTTGGCAGGGACACAAATCCAAACCATATAAATTTCTTTCTCACTTTTAAATGTGTTGCACTTTTCTGGACCAGAAATAATGAGTATATAGGCCAAAATTAAAGGTTTTGATAACCTTCTGTAGTTCTCACTTCATAGGTGCCTTTTTTGATTAATAAAGTGAGGTACAATGCCTTTAACTGATGGTGCCTTTTGGAGTAGAGTGGGATAGCACATGTTCTTAATTTTGCAATTCATTTTACTTTCTGTAGAAGCCTTAATTTCTACTACCTGCTATTTTTCCCCTTTCTTTCTAGTTCCACTGGACATCTTCTCCTTCCAAGTTGGATCACTCCCAAATGTAAAAGATTGCTACTTCTCAGTCTAGTGTTTTTGTCCTGCATTGTTCCACATGTATGATATTTTTGAGGAAATGTTGAGAGATTTGAAATCAGGCAACTGTCATAATTCTGTAGGAACCCAAGCATTTCAGGTATTTTAAATCACACAAGACAGCATTATTTTTACTATTACTATTTAAGCTTTTATCGTCAGTCGACATTCACTAAGAGTTTTGCACGTAATTGCCTGTTTGGGGGTCATAAGTTTCTTCAAAA